TTCACTTCGTTCAGGAGCTCCCGAGCGAAGTGAACCCCACCCTCCCCCTCAGAAATCGTGGGGGGTAGGGGCAGGGTTCGCATGTGGCCCCCTATCCCTATCTATGCAGTGTACGGGCGTCATAAGGGGGGGGGGGGGATTCGTGAGGGGGCAGGGGGAGATATACAGAGAATGTCTTCCACGCGCAGAGGGGGGTGGGGGGAGGGGGCAGGGCTTCTTAGAAGCACCTCTGCTTCTTAGAAGGCGCGGGTCTTATCTATAGATGTAAGGCCGGCGCCTTCGAAGAAGCAGCCTCTTTCTCAGAAGCCTTCCCCCCTCCCTCCACCCCCTTGTACATTCCGCCAAGCTACCACCCTCTCCACCCGGACGTGTCGGGTCAACCTTGGGCACTGCAGAGTTTGTATGATTCTGTCTCATCGCTCACCTCGGCCACACGCTCGCACCGTGTCGTGTTCACACCACGCTCGCCAGTGCTGCAAGGACACCAGCCTAACAGCACGTGTTTTGATTCGTGTGCCATCTCGAATGTGGCAACTTTTCTGCCCGCGCGCACATGATGAAATAATCGGAAGGCCGTGTGATTCATCAGTTTCGCCCAGCACCAGCATTCTAATCCCACCACGCGGCGCACCCACGCTGATCCAGCATGCGCCCAGCTCGCGAACCCCTACCGAGTAATACCATGCGGGCCATGCGCGCGCGCCGCCACGCGAGCGTTCCGAAGTCTGTTCAAACCCTTAGTTGTCGAAGCATGCCATCATGCAGCTTTCCAAAGACGCAACAAGCAACACATGTGCTGAACGCAAAAGTGTGTTCGGATTACTAGGTGTCCAGGCGCGCGCACTTTCTCACCATCACCCTCACCAGCGCCGCCGCATCACGCCATCGTCATCGACAATCGCCACACTTGTCGCCGTCATCATCCAAGCATTCTCGTCATCGACACATGGACATCACCATCGTCATCGGCGATGCCAGCATCGGCGACGTCATTGGCCCTGCCGTCGCCATCGTCGTCATCGCCTCAAGCATCACTACTGTCATGATCGTTTCTGCCTTTGTCGACGTCGCCATGATACCGCGCCCGCCCGATGCACCGACCTGAACCGAAGTGCCAGCGCGTCAGGGCGGCCTTTGACACGCATTGGGGCGCTACCATCGGCAAGCGCCGTCGCGACCGCATCGGCTGCGACAAGCTTGGCGGCCGCTCTGCACGCGAGCTCGCGCTCGCCGGCGCGGCCGCGGAGACGCGCCAGCCACGGCCACGCAGTCATCGCAGTCGCCGCCGCATGGGTTTTGTTGTAAACCAGGCTGCGTCTGGGGGTGGGATGATTGCGCGAGCTGTGGAATTGAAAGCTGCAGGGTTGGTAACAGTACGTTCTTCTTCCTACGAGCAGAATCTAGACCTCCCCGCTGGGTTTATCGACGCCCCCTTGGACATTGCAGATTTCTTCTACTTCTGCCTCGCACTTCATTGTAGAAGTAAGCTCACACCATCCCAGGGAGCCCGCTCACTGCCCTCCCCCCCTCCCCCCTTTGATCCCCGTCAAGTAACATTATGCGCGCGCGCCCGCAGCCCAACCGGCATCGACACCCCCAGTCCCCCCCTGAAAAAATCGATTCGCGCGCACCCGCTTACCAAAACCTACCCGTTATCACGAAACTCTTGCACAGCAAAATGACGAAACTCACACGCGCGCGTCGTCGCGCGCGCATGCCGGTTTGTTCAAAAGTGTTGGGTTTCGTGGGGAATTTCAAATTTGAGTGTCCAACAAGAACCTTGCGCTCGCGCTCGTGCGAACTCTCCAGACAACCATCGGTTTTACAACCTTTTCGTAACATGCTACCAAGCGGGCTTCGTGCGCGCGCATGCCAAATCGTTCGAACGCCCTTGCGTTCGTGCTGTCGCAAGAGTCTTTTGCAACGAATGCGACGAAGTGCGCGCGCGTCGTCACGCCCGCATGCCGAAATCAGTCAAAACCATTTAGATGTATACATATAACGGCGCACCGGGTCCGGGGGCCCGGGGCCGGGACCTCGACCACAAATGTGGGCCCCGGGGGGCCCGGAGGCTCGTCGGACCGCCGGACGCCGTCCAAGATCGTTCGCAGGCGGCTTCGGAACGCGCTCCGATGGCTCCAGATGCCTTCCAAGACGCCTGTCATGACACCAAGAAGGTCCCAGAAGCCTCCAAGACGCTCCGAGAGGCAGCCCAAGAGAGGCCCAAGAAGCAAAAATCGTGCCATTCCTATGGGAAAACGTATATTTTTCGCATGTTCGCCTCTTGGGCTTTCACCGCGTCCAAGACGGCCCAAGAGGCGCCCAAGACCGCCCCAAGACGGCCCAAGAAGCTTCCAAGAGGGCCCCAGGACAGCCCAAGAGGGCCCCAAGACGGCCCAAGAGGCGCCCAAGATGGCCCAAGAGGGCCCCAAGACGGGCCCAAGAGGGGGCCCAGAGGGGGACCACGAACCGCAAGCTCGAGCCTTCCGCCCCAAGAGGCCGCCAGGAGGCCCCAAGGAGGCCCCTCAAGAGGCCCCAGGAGACCCCCAAGAGGCCCAAAGGAGGCCCCGAGAAGCCCCAAATCGGCCCCCAAAATGCTTCGAACCTGCTTCCAGGAGGCCCCCGACAGGTTCAGAGGCTCCCGAGAAGCTACGTCAAACTCCCAGCGAGCGGCCGGACGAGGCCCCCCACAAAATCACAAGAGGGTTCCAGTATTTGTATCCTTCAGCGCTCTCTGGCCTTCTTCCCCCTGCCCCCTTCCCTGCGACTTTCGTTGACTCAAGCTCGCCTCCTAGCTAGAACCTAAGCGCGCGCGAAGCGCGCGTGGTTCTAGTCATAAGAATGTCAGAACCAAGTGTCCCGAAACCATACACACACATGGTTTTGCAACATCAGTTATCAAGAAAGCCTGCGCTCGCGTTCTTGTGAATTCTTTGAAAACCTTCGCTCTTTCTCTACATGTTCATGAAACTCTGCCAAACAAGCCTCTCACGCCGCATGCCGGAATCATTCGAACGCCCTTGCGCGCGTGCTGGGGGGGCATGATCCGTGTCAAATAACACCATGCGGGCCGCTCTGGCGCGTCGGCCGCGCGCGCGTGTCCAACTCCTCGCAATAACTCCATCACCGACGAGAGGACGCCGGCATCGTCGCCGGCGTGATCAACATCGGCGCCGTCAGTGGCCGTGCCGTCGCCGCTGTCATCATCGTCACCAGCACCGCTACTAGCATCATCGCGTCTACCGTTGTCGACGTTGCCATGGTACCGCGCAGTGAAGTGCCCGTTGGGAAGTGCCCAGCGGTCAGCGCCACCGCGGCCGCGTCGGTCGCGCCATACTAGCTGGCCGTTGCGCGCGCGAGCATGCGCGGGTTAGCGCGGCCGCAGAGATGCCCCAGCCAACACCAAACACTCATCGCAATCGCCGCGTCATGGGCTTTGCAAACCAAGTTGCGGGTGGGTGGGTGGGATGATTGCGCGAGCAGTGGACTTGACAATTCACGGCGACCAGCAACTAGTGGTACCGCATCGCTTCCACCACATGGCTTCCACCAGTGATCACGTTAGCTCCCCCCCCCCACAGATGGCAAGTCGCTCACACCACACAGACTGCGCCACACAGCATCCAGCCACGCAGCTTGCACCCCACAGTTTGCACCACGCAGACTGTACCACGTAGCTTCCACCACATACTCCAGATTTCGTAATAAAGGGAAGGGGGTCTCATTTCGGGGGGGGGTCTCTTCCAGGCTATCTTGAAGGGCCTGGGGGGGTCTGGGGACGATGTTTTGGAGGGTTCTCCCACGGGGGAGGTCTGAAATGGCTTGTCTTGGAGGGTCCAGACCCCCTCCCTTTTATTACGAAATCTGGAGTAACTTGCAGATTTTGCATCACCCAGTATGTTAGAGCACGCTGTTTAGGGGCCACGTCGGTGACCACCCGTTCCCAGAGAGGGGGATCCTCCAGGGAAGTGCGGCTGCCTCGAGCGGAGCAGGTGCATCTCTTCACCCGAGGCGCGCTGGAGCAGACAGGGATAGGGGAGGTCAACGGGGACGAGGGGGAGGACGAGCAAGGGGGCCCTCTTCCGAGGAAATTGGATGGCGACGGAGAGGAGAGAGGGGGAGGGACGCAGAGAGAGGCGCGGATCGAGGGCATGCCGCTTCGAAGGGGCAGGGGCCAATACCCAGTCTCGCCGCTCACCCGGCCAATCCCTAGAACGTGGCCCAGATGGCGTGCCCCGTCAATGCATCCAGAGGGCTTGCCTTGCGCGCGGGAAGGAGAGCAACTGGAGGTGGTATAGCGGCGGAGGAGGAGCACGAGTCACTCCCACGACTCGCCGGGTGCGCGGTCCGACGACGCAGCCTCCGACATCGTGTGTTTTCATTGGCCGGGCCTGGGTGCAGGCTGGCCCGAGCATCGCGGTGCGGTGATCGAGACCGCGCCCTTGGCATCGCTCGGACGTGTGCATTTTTCCTTCGGCGAGGACCATCGAGGAGCATCCTTGATCATTTGGCGAAAAAACCACGCACGAAACCGGAAAAAACACAGGGAATGGACGTCCGAGCGATGGCCAGCGCCCGAGCGGTGTGAAAACAGAAGCGGGGCGACGAGGGCGTGCTCCCTGGAGTGTCGATCGGCGCACGAAAGAGCGCTCGTACTATTTTGGATGATCTTCGACTTCTGCCGGCCTCGCTGGAGGCCTCTCTTCGGGGCTTTCTGTGGACATCTCGGCGGGTTTTTGGGGGGCTTGCCGGGCCGTCACGGACTTGGCCTTGGGACGTCTTGCAGAGCTGCTTTTAGGTCCGTTTTCGGCCGTCTTGCTAGGGAAATCGAGGGGGGGGGTTCTTGGGACGCGGTCAGGGGCAACGTCAGGGGGGATAGGCAAGGGGGTACGCATCGACTTCAAATCGCTCCTCATGCGTCGCCCATGCGAGCCCAGGGGTCCCACCCCGCCAGGGAGTGTGCGGATTCGCTATTGGGGGCCTAACCCCAATGTATCGGCGATGTATCGCCGATTCCAGGTCGATGTTTCCCCCACTGAGCCAATCACCCCCGAACCCCCTCAGGGGGGATCTCTGGGGACGAGGGGGGGGCGGGCCTGGAAAGCTACAGAAAGCTTAAAGCTTGCCAGGACAACTGATGAGCACTCTGATGCTTCACTGTCGTATAGGCGCGGTGGTCAGACCTGCAGGAGACATGGTTGCGCAAGGCCATCAGTTGCTGGACACACGCATTCTATTGAATCTGCTCCTCTCAGCCTGGTGGCCCCGCAACGGGCCAGTGAATTAAGCTTCCTTTGTAGATGTATCGCGACAGTGGGCGGGCAGTTTGATTATACCACAGTTGCTTCCAGTAGTCGATCCGGCGTCAGTCTATCGTGCATGGCGGTCGATCTTCCTCCTCCGCATCGATGGAAACATATCCGTCTTGAGACATCCACATCGATGAGCACGACAAGTGGATCCAGCACCACTAGAACTAGCTCCACCACCAGTGTCTCTACTTCCACTGCGACCAGCAGTACCACTGCTTCAAGCATTACAGCGACGAGCAGTAGCACAATGAGCACGACTTCTGCGACTTCAACCACATCTGTCTCCAGTACAACATTTTCCAGCACCAGCGTTTCCACAACAACAGCGACGAGCAGCACAAGTGTGACCACCACAACAGGGACGAGCAGCACCACGCGCAGCAGCACCAGCGCAACCAGCAGCACCACTGTGACAAGCACGACGGGCACTAGCAGCACCAGTGTGTCCAGCACTACAGGCTCCAGCACTACCACGCGCAGCAGCACCAGCGAAACCAGCAGCACCACTGTAAGCAGCACCACAGGCACTAGCAGCACCACTGTGACCAGCACGACGGAAACCAGCAGTACCACTGTGACCAGCAGTAGCACTGTAAGCACCACGACGGGCACCAGCAGCACAACTGTGAGCAGCACGAGCGCAACTAGCAGCACCACTGTGACCAGCACAACGGGCACCAGCAGTACCACTCGCAGCAGCACCAGCGCAACCAGCAGTACCACTGTGACCAGCACGTCGGGCACTAGCAGCTCCACTGTGACCAGCACGACGGGAACCAGCAGTACCACTGTGACCAGCACTACTGCAACCAGCAGCACCTCCGATACCAGCACATCGGAGACGAGCAGCACTAGTGTGTCCAGCACGACTGGCTCCAGCAGTACCACGCGAAGCAGCACCAGCGCAACGAGCAGCACTACTGTGTCCAGCACGACTGGCACTAGCAGCACAACCCGGAGCAGCTCGACGGACACCAGCAGTACTACCCGTAGCAGCACGACTGAAACAAGCAGTTCCACTGTGACCAGCGTGACGGAAAGCAGCAGTAGCACTGTAAGCACCACGACGGGCACCAGCAGCACGACTGTGAGCAGCACGAGCGCAACTAGCAGCACCACTGTGACCAGCACAACGGGCACCAGCAGTACCACTCGCAGCAGCACCAGCGCAACCAGCAGCACCACTGTGACAAGCACGACGGGCACTAGCAGCACCAGTGTGTCCAGCACTACAGGCTCCAGCACTACCACGCGCAGCAGCACCAGCGAAACCAGCAGCACCACTGTAAGCAGCACCACAGGCACTAGCAGCACCACTGTGACCAGCACGACGGAAACCAGCAGTACCACTGTGACCAGCAGTAGCACTGTAAGCACCACGACGGGCACCAGCAGCACAACTGTGAGCAGCACGAGCGCAACTAGCAGCACCACTGTGACCAGCACAACGGGCACCAGCAGTACCACTCGCAGCAGCACCAGCGCAACCAGCAGTACCACTGTGACCAGCACGTCGGGCACTAGCAGCTCCACTGTGACCAGCACGACGGGAACCAGCAGTACCACTGTGACCAGCACTACTGCAACCAGCAGCACCTCCGATACCAGCACATCGGAGACGAGCAGCACTAGTGTGTCCAGCACGACTGGCTCCAGCAGTACCACGCGAAGCAGCACCAGCGCAACGAGCAGCACTACTGTGTCCAGCACGACTGGCACTAGCAGCACAACCCGGAGCAGCTCGACGGACACCAGCAGTACTACCCGTAGCAGCACGACTGAAACAAGCAGTTCCACTGTGACCAGCGTGACGGAAAGCAGCAGTAGCACTGTAAGCACCACGACGGGCACCAGCAGCACGACTGTGAGCAGCACGAGCGCAACTAGCAGCACCACTGTGACCAGCACAACGGGCACCAGCAGTACCACTCGCAGCAGCACCAGCGCAACCAGCAGTACCACTGTGACCAGCACGACGGGCACTAGCAGCTCCACTGTGACCAGCACGACGAGAACCAGCAGTACCAGTGTGACCAGCACTACTGCAACCAGCAGCACCTCTATTACCAGCACATCAGAGACGAGCAGCACCAGTGTGTCCAGCACAACGGGCTCCAGCAGCACCACTGTGACCAGCACGACGGGAACCAGCAGTACCACTGTGACCAGCACCAGCGCAACCAGCAGCACCACCGATACAAGCACATCGGAGACGAGCAGCACCACCGTGTCCAGCACGACAGGCTCCAGCAGTACCACCGTGACCAGCACGTCGATGAGTAGCAGTACCACTCGCAGCAGCACTAGCGCAACCAGCAGCTCCACTGTGACCAGCGCGACGGAAACCAGCAGTACCACAGTAAGCAGCACGACCGGCACCAGCAGTACCACTGTGACAAGCGTGACGGGCACCAGCAGCACCACTGTGACCAGCACGACGGGCACCAGCAGTACCAGTGTGACCAGCACGACGGGCTCCAGCAGCACCTCCGTTACCAGCACATCAGAGACGAGCAGCACCAGTGTGTCCAGCACGACGGGCACCAGCAGCACCACTGTGACCAGCACGACGGGAACCAGCAGTACCACTGTGACCAGCACCAGCGCAACCAGCAGCACCACCGATACAAGCACATCGGAGACGAGCAGCACCACCGTGTCCAGCACGACAGGCTCCAGCAGTACCACCGTGACCAGCACGTCGATGAGTAGCAGTACCACTCGCAGCAGCACTAGCGCAACCAGCAGTACCACTGTGACCAGCGCGACGGAAACCAGCAGTACCACAGTAAGCAGCACGACCGGCACCAGCAGTACCACTGTGACAAGCGTGACGGGCACCAGCAGCACCACTGTGACCAGCGTGACGGGCACCAGCAGTACCAGTGTGTCCAGTACGACGGGCACCAGCAGCACCACTGTGACCAGCACGACTGGAACCAGCAGTACCACTGTGACGAGCACCAGCGCAACCAGCAGCACCTCCGATACAAGCACATCGGAGACGAGCAGCACCACCGTGTCCAGCACGACAGGCTCCAGCAGCACCACTGTGACCAGCACTACTGCTACCAGCAGCACCTCTGTGACCAGCACAACGGGCACCAGCAGTACCACTGTGACCAGCACGACAGGCTCCAGCAGCAGCACAAGCGCGACCAGCAGCACCTCGGTGTCCAGCTCAACGGGCACCAGCAGTACCACTCGCAGCAGCACCAGCGCAACCAGCAGCTCTACTGGGACCAGCACGACTGGCACCAGCAGTACTACCCGGAGCAGCACGAGTGAAACAAGCAGCACCACCGTGACCAGCACGTCGATGAGTAGCAGTACCACTCGCAGCAGCACTAGCGCAACCAGCAGTACCACTGTGACCAGCACGACAGGCTCCAGCAGCAGCACCAGCGCGACCAGCAGCACCTCGGTGTCCAGCTCAACGGGCACCAGCAGTACCACTCGCAGCAGCACCAGCGCAACCAGCAGCTCTACTGGGACCAGCACGACTGGCACCAGCAGTACTACCCGGAGCAGCACGAGTGAAACAAGCAGCACCACCGTGACCAGCACGTCGATGAGTAGCAGTACCACTCGCAGCAGCACTAGCGCAACCAGCAGCTCCACTGTGACCAGCGCGACGGAAACCAGCAGTACCACAGTAAGCAGCACGACGAGAACCAGCAGTACCACTGTGACCAGCACTACTGCAACCAGCAGCACCTCCATTACCAGCACATCAGAGACGAGCAGCACCAGTGTGTCCAGCACGACGGGCTCCAGCAGCACCACTGTGACCAGCACGACGGGAACTCTGAGTACAACTGTGACCAGCACCAGCGCAACCAGCAGCACCACCGATACAAGCACATCGGAGACGAGCAGCACCACCGTGTCCAGCACGACAGGCTCCAGCAGTACCACCGTGACCAGCACGTCGATGAGTAGCAGTACCACTCGCAGCAGCACTAGCGCAACCAGCAGCTCCACTGTGACCAGCACGACGGGCACTAGCAGCTCCACTGTGACCAGCACGACGAGAACCAGCAGTACCAGTGTGACCAGCACTACTGCAACCAGCAGCACCTCTATTACCAGCACATCCGAGACGAGCAGCACCAGTGTGTCCAGCACGACGGGCTCCAGCAGTACCACTCGGAGCAGCACCAGCGCAACGAGCAGCACTACCGTGTCCAGCACGACTGGCACCAGCAGCACAACCTGGAGCAGCACGACGGACACCAGCAGTACTACCCGTAGCAGCACGAGTGAAACAAGCAGTACCACCGTGACCAGCACGTCGATGAGTAGCAGTACCACTCGCAGCAGCACTAGCGCAACCAGCAGCTCCACTGTGACCAGCGCGACGGAAACCAGCAGTACCACAGTAAGCAGCACGACCGGCACCAGCAGTACCACTGTGACCAGCGTGACGGGCACCAGCAGCACCACTGTGACCAGCGCGACAGGAACCAGCAGTACCACTGTGACCAGCACCAGCGCAACCAGCAGCACCACCGATACCAGCACATCGGAGACGAGCAGCACCAGTGTGTCCAGCACGACAGGCTCCAGCAGTACCACTGTGACCAGCAGCACCACCGTTACCAGCACATCCGAGACGAGCAGCACCAGTGTGTCCAGCACGACGGGCTCCAGCAGTACCACTCGGAGCAGCACCAGCGCAACGAGCAGCACTACCGTGTCCAGCACGACTGGCACCAGCAGCACAACCTGGAGCAGCACGACGGACACCAGCAGTACTACCCGTAGCAGCACGAGTGAAACAAGCAGTACCACCGTGACCAGCACGTCGATGAGTAGCAGTACCACTCGCAGCAGCACTAGCGCAACCAGCAGCTCCACTGTGACCAGCGCGACGGAAACCAGCAGTACCACAGTAAGCAGCACGACCGGCACCAGCAGTACCACTGTGACCAGCGTGACGGGCACCAGCAGCACCACGCGCAGCAGTACAAGCGCAACGAGCAGCACCACTGCGTCCAGCACGACGGAAACCAGTAGCACAACCAGGAGCAGCGTGACGTACACCAGCAGTACAACCCGTAGCAGCACGAGTGAAACAAGCAGTTCCACTGTGACCAGCACGACGGGCACTAGCAGCACCACTGTGACCAGCACGACGCTCACCAGCAGTACCACTCGCAGCAGCGCGACTGCAACCAGCAGCACCACCGTTACCAGCACATCGGAGACGAGCAGCACCAGTGTGTCCAGCACGACGGGCTCCAGCAGTACCACTCGGAGCAGCACCAGCGCAACGAGCAGCACTACCGTGTCCAGCACGACTGGCACCAGCAGCACAACCTGGAGCAGCACGACGGACACCAGCAGTACTACCCGTAGCAGCACGAGTGAAACAAGCAGTACCACCGTGACCAGCACGTCGATGAGTAGCAGTACCACTCGCAGCAGCACTAGCGAAACCAGCAGTTCCACTGTGACCAGCGCGACGGAAACCAGCAGTAGCACAGTAAGCAGCACGACAGGCACCAGTAGTTCGACTGTAAGCAGCACCAGCGCAACCAGCAGCACGAGTGTGACCAGCACAACTGGCACCAGCAGCGCTACTCGCAGCAGCACCAGTGCAACCATCAGCAATTCTGCAACCAGCACATCGGAGACGAGCAGCACCAGTGTGTCCAGTATAACGCGCACCAGCAGTACCACCCGGAGCAGCACGACGGGCACCAGCAGTACAACCCGAAGCAGCACGAGTGAAACAAGCAGTACCACCGTGACCAGCACGTCGATGAGTAGCAGTACCACTCGCAGCAGCACTAGCGAAACCAGCAGTTCCACTGTGACCAGCGCGACGGAAACCAGCAGTAGCACAGTAAGCAGCACGACAGGCACCAGTAGTTCGACTGTGAGCAGCACCAGCGCAACCAGCAGCACGAGTGTGACCAGCACAACTGGCACCAGCAGCGCTACTCGCAGCAGCACCAGTGCAACCATCAGCAATTCTGCAACCAGCACATCGGAGACGAGCAGCACCAGTGTGTCCAGTATAACGCGCACCAGCAGTATCACCCGGAGCAGCACGACGGGCACCAGCAGTACAACCCGAAGCAGCACGAGTGAAACAAGCAGTACCACCGTGACCAGCACGTCGATGAGTAGCAGTACCACTCGCAGCAGCACTAGCGCAACTAGCACTTCCACTGTGACCAGCACGACGGGTACCAGCAGTACCACGCGCAGCAGCACTAGCGCAACTAGCAGCTCCACTGTGACCAGCACGACGGGTACCAGCAGTACCACTCGCAGCAGCACCAGCGCAACCAGCAGTTCCACTGTGACCAGCGCGACGGAAACCAGCAGTAGCACAGTGAGCAGCACGACCGGCACCAGTAGTTCGACTGTGAGCAGCACCAGCGCAACAAGCAGCACTAGTGTGACCAGCATAACGGGCACCAGCAGTACCACTCGCAGCAGCACCAGTGCAACCAGCAGCACCTCTGTGACCAGCACAACGGGCACCAGCAGTACCTCTGTGACCAGCGCGACGGGCACTAGCATCAGCACCCGCAGCAGCACAAGCGCGACCAGCAGCACCACTGTGTCTAGCACGACGCTCTCCAGCAGCTCCACTCGCAGCAGCACAAGCGTAACCAGCAGCACCTCGGTGACCAGCATAACGGGCACCAGCAGTGCGACCCGCAGCAGCACGAGTGGGACCAGCAGCACCTCTGTGTCCAGCGCGACGGAAACCAGCAGTACCACTCGCAGCAGCACCAGTGAAACAAGCAGCACCACTGAGACTAGCACAACGGGCACCAGCAGTGCTACTCGCAGCAGCACGAGTGCAACCAGCAGCACGTCTATGACCAGCACGACCGGTACGAGCAGCGCCACTGCGTCCAGTGCGACTGCGACGAGCAGTACCACTCTTAGCACCGCCACTGAAACGAGCTCCATTACTAGCGTGTCCGCTACTAGCACCGCTACCGTCACTACTGTGAGCACGACGTCTTTGACGTCCATCACGGCCACGTCCATCACAACAGTTTCCACAACCACCACGACGACAGGTACGTCTGTGAGCACTACAACAGCTACGAGCTCCACAACGAGCGTCTCCACGATTTCCGCTACCAGCATCACCTCTATATCAGCCACGGAGACGACTGGTACAACTGTGAGCACCACTACTTTGACCAGCTCTTCTGTCAGCACGACCTCTCTAACGTCCCTCACGACTACGTCCGTCACCACCGTAACTAACAGTACCACTGCGAGCACCACCACCGCAACGACCACCACGCAAAGTACAACCTCGAAGTCTTTTACCTCGTCCAGTTCCACTACAACAATTTCAACCACGAGTGTCTCAACCATCACGGTGACGAGCATGACCACAGCCAGCACCACCACCCCAACGACCACCACTTTAAGCACGACGTCTGCGACGACCACCACTTCCGTTTCTAGTACAAGCAGATCAACCATCACAGCGACGTCCAGTACGACTATAACCACCAGCAGCCAATCGACCACCACAACAGTTTCTACCACCAGCGGTTCCACCACAACGGTTTCGACCACCAGCGTCTCCACCACCACAGCGACGAGTAGTACCACTGAGAGCACCACCACCATGACGAGCACTACCACTCTCAGCACGGTCTCTGCGACGTCTACCACTACAAGTCGCAGCTCCGTGACCCAGACTAGCATCACAGCAACAACGGTATCGATGACTTCGACCACCACATCTGTCACCTCGTCATCGACTACGGGGACAAGTACGACCACTGCGATTTGCTGGTGCGTAGACTCTGATGGTACGGCCTGTGTCCAGCGAGGTTATACCAACGTGCACTTCGTGGTGTATGCCGATGAGTGGATCCGAGGTTGTGACCAGGGCAGTGAAATTTCGCTCCAAGCAGTTAGGCGTTTTCTGAATATGGAAGGATAGGAGGGCAATGGGTACACCCATCCCTCTTGCCGCTGCTGCTTCTCTTTTTCTTTATCAGAATCCTCTTCTTCACTGTCCTTACTCTCCTCCTCAGTCTACCTCGCTACCCTCCAGTCCTGCTTCCCCCTGTAATCTTCTCCATAGTTCCCCTCGTCCTCACCTCCCGTCTGGGGCCCTCCGCAGCGTCCAGGGTCCGGGTGTTGCCATGGTCGGTGTGTGTGGCCTGTTCTGTTGAGGGTTGGTGTCCGCCTGAGCTACCTTTGGAGGCTCCTTGCGCGTGCATTCCCGAGCCCTGCCAGCCAGAGTCGTCCTCTGCAGGCGATTTCTCTCCCCTAGTCACCGGGTCCCCCTCGAAAATTGGCCGTTCAGAGAATACAGACAATTCGGGGATAGACGCCCTGGGGTCTGCTCGGACGTACCATCATCGAGGATGCACGCCCCTTGACGTAGATCCCCGAGTTGGGCACCAAGTCTCTCTTCAGTCGAAAACCTCCACGAAGTCGGCGACCGGGGTCGGCATACACCCGTTGGTCCTCCTCGTCTTCCTCCCCTCAGGGACCAAAAAAGGGCCTGGGCTGACTCACGAGCAGGTCGTAACTACAGCACCGTGCCAGTGGCCGTGAAGGCGGCGTTGCTCGCCTTCAAGGAGGCGGCGCTTCGGGTCTTCGTTGCCCTTCCTCCTTCAAGAGAAGAGGGTAGAGGAGGAAGAGGAGGAGAAGGAGGAGGAGGAGGAGGAGGTGGAGACCATATGCAGCCTTGCCAGCCCAGCATGCTGGGTTGCGACCGTTGTGTGTTTCATCTTTGGGAGAGCCGTGATGCTGATGACGATGATGATGGTGATGATGATGATGATGAGGAGGAGGAGGAGGAAGAGGAGGAGCAGGAACCCAGGAGGGTCGGTGTAAACCCAAGACTCGTCAACGATGTTGCAATACACCCTCCCTCCAAGTTCCCTCTTCACAGGCCCCTGCAAGGATTCATTTTCACTGAAGGAAGTGCCCTGTTGAAAGACAACCGTGTGCAGATCCTGGACTCTGCCAGAACACCGTCGTGCCAGAGAGCTGCTCTTGGGATTTCAACACTACGAATCAACGTAACCGTTGTCCTGCATCATGCCAAAACGCAATTTTGGGGACGTTCGCCACGAGAATTCTTGAAACGACTGTAATCTCTTAAAGCGAATGTGCGCGGCGCTCAGGGGAGAGCTACAGTTGGAAAAGGAACCGCGCTCCATCCGCGAAATTCTTGCAATTTTGAAAAGACGAGCGCAAGCGGCGTTAATACGATGACCACATCTTGAGAACGACATGGCCTGCATCCGCGAAGGTCTTGCAGTGTTTGAAGACGAGTGTTCGCGGCGCTGAAATGGGAGCCACATTTAAAAAACGACCCGCCCTCCATCCGTGAAGCTTTGTTTTGTTGAAGGCGTACGTGCGCGGCGCCAGCGCAAGAGCCTTATCTTGAAAACCACCCGCCCTCCCATCAGTGAAGCTGTTGGGGGTTTGAAGACGGGAGTGAGTGGCGCTAAGGCGAAAGCCACATTTTGAACACGGTCCGCCCTCCATCCTTGTAGCTGCTGCAATCGCTAAGCCTTAGGATCACAAGTGGTAGGGAGTTCTTCGGCGAAACGCCCACCCCGCCCTTTGCACCGGCCTCGGAGCGCGACAATATTGAATTGTTTTTTACGGAACGGGAATAATGCAGGTGAAGGAGGAGGAGGAAGGCCAAGACATGTGACACATTCCATCTTCACGGTGGAGGAGCTCTCATGGAACTCGTCGTTTGGGCCGTCTTGTGGGTGTCTTGGCCTCCTGTGAGGCAATATTGGAGGTCCCTTTGGGGCCCTCTCGTGACGTCCGGCTCTCTTGGACTGTCTTGGGGCCCTCTTGGCTGCGTGGATCCAGTCCTCCCATAGGACCAACCCGGTCTTCAGAGCACTTGCTGATTCCAAAGGGTTTAGTACGTATACTACTTGGGAAAATCCTGGTTGGTAGATCTGTTTTCGTTTACGCTGCAGGCTCGGAAAAAATTCTCCGAACGCGACACCAGGGCCCCAACAACAACCGAAAGACAAATGAAACCTTCCGCGCCGGTCCGCGCCCAACCCCGTCCGCCTCAGTGGACGTGGTCCAAACGCCCCCCCATAAGAATTCTAAACGGGCTTGCGCCTGGGGGGGGGGACCCTGGGGTGATCCACCCGTGGGAAATCTGATTAAGGAGAGTGGCTGGAGCCCGGTCTCGGCGATTCTGCAGAGGACGTCCTCACAAATTTGCTTGGTCTCGCCGCTGGTCCGCCAGAGACATCTTCGCAATTTGCCAGGTTTCGCGCCTGGTTTCATTCGGTTTCGGCCCAGTGTCGCTCGAGACGTCCTCGCAATTCGCTTGGTTTCGCCTGGTTTGAGCGCGGGTTCGCCCGACACGTCCTCGCAATTTGCCTTGTTTCGTACTGATTTCGTTTGTTTTCGGCCCGGTTTCGCTTGAGATGTCCTCGCAATTTGCTTGGCTTCGCCTGTTTTCGGCGCGGTTTCGCTTGAGACGTCCTCCCAACTTGCTTGGTTTACCCTTCGGCGCCTGTTCGCTTGAGACGTCCTCCCAATGTGCTTAGTGCCTCACGCACATCGCGGGTGCAAAAACGTGGACAAGAACAGTTGACTTAGTCAACCCCTTGCGTGCCTCCGCAACAGTAGCAACTGCATACCTGCAGCTGTGTTGGCTGCGATGTCAACAGAGCGCCCTGCCCCGCCTCGCACGTGCGCGCCCGGCCGGCCGGGTCTCGTTTGTCTATCGGAATGACAAGCTTAACGGCCCCAGATACACACTTCTCGCCATGGCAACAGCAAGTACGTCTCCAATGCACCATTTGAACCTGAGCAAGAGACTGTTACGTATTGGACATGAAGAAGAATAGCAATAACATCAATAAGCTGAAGAAAGAACAGAACCATTCATGGAAATGGCATCGACAGATAATGAAACTATGTTTCAAACCTCCATGGAGAATGTGCGTCAAAAAAGAACCACGCCACGGCTTGAGTGCGAATGTTCCTGGATCATATTCAGCCGACTATGTCGGATAGACGAGTCAACACCCTCACTCCAAGATCAGCTGGAACATTTACTCCGATGACGAGCCAAGCCCGGGCACTCCGAAGGTAAAGGGCGACGAGGAACTCAAGTGGCACG